TATATGTACTTATTCATATTTACGAAAATGATGGCAACAGCTATTCATTGTGTCAACTTTTCTGCTCGTATAACAAGAGAGAAAACGGAATTGACCAAACCGACTTCATTAAGGTTTTTTTACAAAAAAAAGGTAAAATCAAGAAAATTATGTTCATTTATATACACATTTTTTCTTCTGAAAACCCGCTTAAACTTACACTCAGATTCAAAAGTAAACCTTTATCCTCAACATAGTATAAAAAGAGAAAAGAATGCACTTGAGATGAAAATTTGAAGCTCATCAATCAAAAAAAAAATTAAAATAATTATGTTATTTCACTTTCTCAGTATTCTAAAAGTGGAAGAGGACGGAGCTAACCTTCTTTCACTAATGATAACTGCAACGACAAAAGCAACAGCAGCGACAAAGAAAACTTCTAATTCTTATGTTTTGACTATTAGAATATAGAGCATCAACAGAAGAGGAAATAATCTGAGTTTTAGTGAAGTCTACCTCTTTTATTTTTACAAACACCACAAAACTCTAGTCTTCGTCTTCTACTTAGTTAGTTAACGCGCAGGATACGACAGAAATGAATTCATTTACTCTATAATAAAATGACAACAGTTTAGGTTCAGACAGAAATCATCAAACTGAGAGAAAGAATATCAAAATGAAAGGCATCATTTTTTCCCTTCATTTCGCCACTATCGCTGCAGCCCAACAAGCAAACCTAAAGAAAATCAGGAAGAATGCTTAATTCTCGACAAAAACAAAAACGACCAGAACAACAGTGGACAATGCGGAAAAAAAGTTCTTTCAGAGAGATGCATTCTCTCAAACATTATGGAACGTTAACAACAATGCTGTGCTACAGAAAACGAAAAAACGAAAAAACAGCTAGAATAGAAAAACTAAATTAATCTTCGGTTCCATATTTTTTAAATAACTCATTTACTGCAGTAACTCTTTGTCCGCTAAAGTTCCTATTTTTAGCATAACTCTTCCTACCTTTACCAGAACACAACTGCTGCAAGATTTTTTCTTTTTCAGTCATCATTTTATTTAAACGAATACGGTTGTTGTTGTCAACAAAAATACAGTAGTAATTATAAAAGCAATGAAATATCAGCTGAAAGCAGTATAGAGAAAAAAGTATCAAAGTCAATAGCTGATAGAGATACATAATTCAAATCCATCGAAACTTGCATCACAATGAGTCAGAAGAGGAGGAAACGCCAAAAAAGAATTGAAATTACCATCACCATCACTGTCAGCTTATCCATCTTTTTACCATTTATCCCCTTCGAAAAATGACCAACTGTCGATACTCCTCCTCACTCTACTTTTACTCTCCTTTCCCTCTCCCACTCTTTTTTCATCCTCGTTTCATTCCTGAGCTTAAGCATTTATATGCTGTACATAAACTAATACTGATGTTTTGAAGTCCAAAATACCCCCTATTGGGTAAAAAAACAAAATCTGGCAAAAACTGAACTCAGAAATCCGTTGCTATGTGAAGGAGAGCAGAAGAGTAGAACAAGAAATTTGAACAGGAAACGAAGAAAAAGGAAAAGAAACTAAACCAAAGAATTGCCATATAACGATTAAACATGGTCATTATTTGACCATTTCAGAGGCACAAGCCTGCTGAACGGCATGTATGAACAACACGTGAGATCAAGAACGAAACAAAGAGAACATTTTAAATAAAGAACACTGCTTCTTTTTCAGAACCCCGCTCATCCTATGGAGAAAAAGCAGAAATGGAAACCAAAATGGAAAGCAAAACCAAGAAAAAATGACAATTTATACCTTCATCAACATTGAAGCATCAATTTCGGACGTTAAAAAAGAAAATAAAGCAAAGGATATTTTTAAAAAAAAACATGAATTCAATTACATAAATATATCGAACTGAAGCCAACATTAAAAAAAAACAACTAGAAAGAAAAAAAAAGGAGTTAGAAGAACAACCACGGTGTAAATTTATATTTTCGTCAGTCCAATTGACTAATGCCAACCTCACGCGCTGGTGATACAATATACTAACATAGCACAAAAAAAGATCTTGTAACCAAAAAAACGTTCTACCAATAGAGAGATTAATTTCTCAAAACAATGAAAATATATACGTTCCTTTATTTCTGTAATATATGAAGTTTTCCTTCCGAAAAACATTTCTTTTTTTGGGAAAAGCCTTTTAAAATCCAGAAAAATAATAGAAAGTTTTGCAGACGGACGTCGGAATGAACACTGACAAAACCAACCAATAAAGGCTTGCTTTCCCTTCCATTCAACTACAAAATCAAAAAAGATAAGGATATCATCAGAGAAAAAGTAAGAGATAGAGGGAGAGGGGGATGGATATGGGAGAAACATACGTACCGCATGCGTGCCAACCATGCCGAGCCATTCGCCGACTGGTACATACGACTTCGTTTTTCTCCCAACCAACTAGCACCACCAGTACTCCTACTACTACTACCGCTACCACTACCACTGTGACGACATGGAGATAGAGAAGAATGAACATAGAGAAAGAAAGAGAGAGAGAAAGGAAAGAGAGAAGAAAAGAGGTAAATACAGAAGCAGTGGGTGATCAAACAAAGGAATAAAAATAGTGTTGCTGTTTAGACTGCCAAACGATACGAGCAAATGCAGCATTTCTGCTGCTGGCGGTCGTGCTTGTGGACAGGGCAGTAGCAGTGCCTGGCGCCAAGTCTGGGCGAGTGGACATCTGGCCAACTGCAAGGGTGCAGAGCCAAAAAACTGTTGCTGCTGAGACGGCTCCAGTTAGATACGACGAAACCAAGTCCGAATGTTGGCGGCACGCCGAAGTGCTAATGACCGTCGGCAGTCGGTCAGCAGTCCAGTGCACTAAATCTGTTTATACTAAAAGCAACCAGCAGCAGTTGGGTGGCACATATTCGTAGCGAGTATATTACATCTATCAAGGCAGTTGTCAAACAGCATATTGAATTAGGGCGATGAACGGGATGGCCATTGTGGTTTGCATTGCGCAGAAAAATGGAAAAACCTGAGCACCACAGCAGAACGAATTCATGTTTTCAGCGCTTGTCGCAAAGGGTCGTCAGCGATGATGAGAAGCCGGTGGTTCTTATTCAATTTGACTTTTTTTTAAAAATGCTTTGAAAACACTTCTGTATTCGTAAAATCGAAAATTAACGTGATAAAAAATTGTAGACATTGTTGCAAAACTGCTTATACTTTTGTTTTTTTCTCCTTTTAAACCATTTCATCAAATGATTCGGTGAACATTGTTTCGCTTCACTAGAACTAGAGTTCCCACTAAGTTCACTTATAGAGTGGGAACAAATGATGTCATTCAAAAATGGTATTTTTATAAATATTTAACGTGGCGAGAAAGGAAAGCAAACAACTGAAAAAAGAGCTATGGCCATGAGAAAAAGATGATAATAAGAAAAATAAAAGTAGAAATAAAAATCAACTACAAAATGCAATAGACTTTCTCCCCATTTTATTACAAACAGTATACAGATTGGGTAGTTAAGACTATGCTTTCATTTGAAAATCAGTTTTTTTAACCCTTTTTCTCGTTTCTGCTATCCTGCCAACAATCTGCTCTATTCCGTTAACCCAAATTTTTTTCCCTGTATAATCGAAAAAATGTTTTACTGAGTACATTTTGAAGACGTTAGAGAAAAGGAGAAAAAAACGGAAATATCATTTCAGCTTGCGATATAAAAGACCTTCATAGACGGACTTCCCCCTAACAATGGCAGAATTTCTTTCCTGTAATCGACCTGACGGATTCCAGCACCGATGAACCAAATATCTCGGATAGAACACTATAAGTGATATGACACAGCATGTAAAGGTAATCATTAGAAGAAGTGGCTGTCTGTTGGCAGGAATGAAAGCAAGCGGCTCATCAATTTAGTTACATTTTTCTTACAACAGAGTAATATATTTGGTGCACAATGAATGAGAATATTTTCTTCAGTTAGATGCTTATTTATCAATCCTTGACAGCACTAAACCAAAAATTACGAAAAAAATTTGGCCTTTTTAGCCCATTCGCTTAACACCTCTTTTTTTGAGCTTGATGTTTTCTCTAATATTTCTTTCTTCTTTTTGTTTTTGAATAATACGTATTTTAGAGTGCCTTCTAAATAAAATTTTTTAATCAAGAAAAGCCAAAGAAGATGCTGAAGAAAGCCAAAAAATAGATAAGTTACTGTCAGAAATTGAAACATTCCATTAAATTCAGTTTTCCAGTCAATCAACTGAAACCAGCCAAACTGCTCAAATAAAGACATTTCAAAATACACTTTTAAAAGACTGACAATACTGACAATAGAAAAGTAAAAAGTTGAACATAGAAAGTGAAAACAAGAAATATACAGATAATATGAAGTCGCTTTTCAACTACTATCGTCACAATCGAAACACTATTACTACGTTGAACAGGTATATTCTTCAATTCTCATATACAACTAACTAAACGAAGAACGACACTCAACAGCTCCTATCTAGAAAACAGCTGACCAA